CGACGAGGAGCGTCGTTTCGCCTGTACTGTGCAAGCCTCCCTCCTTTGATGAGGGTTTCAATGGCGTCCTTCAGGTGGACGCAGTCCTCTGTCAAATGACCATGACTCCTATGGTACTTACAGTATTTATTTTTGTCTACTCCTGGCTTGGCAGGAGCTGGCCGGGGACGCTTGACGCCACCGTCTTTAAAATCTGTGCTAGCACACTCTGCCAAAATACGCTCGCGGGAAGCCGTGAGCGGAGTGTACTCAGTGAAACGGCCCGAGTGGCCCCTTTGTTCCCGGACCTCCCGGGGTCGATCTTCCTTCCTCTTCTCTCCGGTCCGTCGGGGAGGAGGGTCTTGTCTCGAGCTGCTGCCATGATTGCGAGCCCTGGAGTCTCGTGCCCTGTTGGCAGCTTCTCTCTCCTCGTAGTCCATGTATGCTCGGGCTTTGTCGAGGAGAGCATCAAAAGTTGCAGGTGGCTCAATACCCACAGCTTTTCTGAATTCTGTGCCGGGGAGGAGGCCCCTCTCCAGCAAATATCTTTTCATATGGTCCGCGCAGGGGACCTGTATTGCTTCCCGATTGAAGCGGTTGATGAATTCCCTCAAGGTTTCATCCTGTCTTTGGATGATGGCCTCGAGGGCCGCCTCGGTCTTCGGGTGGCGCCGAGAAGCTGTGAAGGAACTGATGAACTGGTTCTTCAAGTTCCGCCACGAGGTAATGGAGCCCGGGGCGAGTCCTTTGTACCAGTCCATGGCCGCCTTCCTGAGAGTTGTGGGGAAGAGACGACACTTGATGGGCCCCCCGACATTATGATAGTGGAGCATGGCTTCGAACCCGTCAATATGGTCGACTGGGTCTGCTACGCCCTCGTACTCCTTCAGATGTGGGGGCTTCTCCATGCCCGGGGGAATAGGAGCGTCCATGATGGCCTGCGACAGGGGACCGCGGGGGTCGTCCTCGTCGCTCCTCTCCGGAGAAAGAGAAGGGGTCCTGTAGTTATGTCTGGCACGCTGATCGTGCTGAGATTCCCTCGAGCGTGATGCTCGGTGGTTGAAGGTCACACGCCCGTCTCTGTTGTGCCTCCTGTCGTGCCTTGATGGGTCGCGACTGGGTTCTTCGGTAGGGATGACGGGCTGTCTCTCATATTGGGGCCGCCTCTGCTTTGGCCGGGGAGAGGGGCTCCTAGAGTTCTCCCTGTAGTGTCTCCGCGGGGGAGTAGGGTGTCGAACTTCTTCGACCCGAGGAGGTGGAGATGGTGGCCTCTGATGCCTCCTCGGGGGTCTTCGATCATTTTCAAGTGCCCTTAGTCTTTCTCCTTGGGCGAATAGGAGATAATTTGTCTGGTTGATGGCCGCGAACAGTGCCTGAGTCGTGGCGTCTGCCCCGGCAGGAACTTGGACTTCATAGAACCGGGCAGCTCTGCGATAGGCGAGAGCCTCCGGGTCGTCTTCGAGTGCTGGAGGGGTCGTCGAGGAAGACGCAGTGTTCCCGTCCCTGCGGGAGGAGGGTCCAGGGGCGGTTGTCACAGGGGTGGCATTGTGGCCGGGATCACCGAGATTGTCGAGGTGTCCATTCTTGTCCGCGGGACCGTTGTTAGTGTCGGTGACGCGGACGTGCTGTTCTTCACGAGCTGGATCAGCCATGACAGGTAATTGAATTGAGCTTTGGTCTTTGGAATTGTTCGTTAGACGGGGAAGCTGTTTCCCACAGACGGCGCCACTGATCTGACCTGATCAGAAGGTTTGGACCGTCACGGCTGGCTCCGAGCAGAAAGCTTTTTGAACGAGGAGGGGGGGGGGGGGTACCTGCAAGACACTCCGATGCTAAAGTCAGTGGGAGTACGAGCAGATAATAGAGTTGAGGTTAGAATGATGAATACCTGACCCTCTGGAAACAGAGGGTATTTATAGCCCCCAGCGCTGGGCCAAGGTCCCTTCATTGGGCCGGGCGGATTTGGCCCAATAGAGGAACTGCCAGGTTCTACGTGGGTAGTGGGGACCCGCACGTGGTCCCCTTCCTGGATGTGCTGCGTGAAGTGCGGGCGGACGAAGACGCGGTCTTTCCGAGGTATCGTTGGGGGAACGGTGGACTGAGTCTGCCCTAGTTGGGATGCTCGAGATAACGTCGAGCTGGACAGCAGGGTGTCGAGCTGGATGTTAGGACGTCGAGCTGGGCGACATGGTGTCGAGCTGGACGTTAGGACGTCGAGCTGGACGACAGGAGGTGGAGCTGGACATCATCACGTGGGTTAGACAGCGGGATGTCGAGCTGGACATCAGGATGTCGGGCACGGATGTGACTCCTTTGCCCGGCGTGGACCTCCGTAAGTCCTTTTGGATTGGGCCTTAGTAATGCTTTTGGGCCTGTCGGGCCCAGTCCAGAACAACAATATTTGCAATAACTTTTAGAATTTGAGATTTTACTAATAGAGTGAGCAATTTCATCATCTCAAATAAACAGATCACAACTATTGTCCATTTGCAAACAAAAACAACATTAACCCCATACAAGTTTAGATATTTCACAAAACTCATAGATTCAGGCATTTACCCCATCATTCCTACATTTCTAGAATTTCCTATTACGATTTTTTACGGTGTTAGCAAACCACATCTTAATCGGACGACAACATCTGCATCTAGAAACCTTTGAATGCTCGTACAAATTGCAACTTCCAACACTCTTGCTAACATCCTCCATTTGAACGTAGATACATAATCGGGGTTCAGGAAACGATTTGCAGTGGAAATGATTCAACATGGTAGGGAGAGAAGAAATGAGAAAGACGGTATGGACAGAAGGGGTACATGAAACGATTTGCAATGGAAATGGTTGTGGAAAGGGACATAATACGGTAGCCCTAGACATAAGCAATCCAAGGTGGCATACAATTACCCAGTCAACAAATAGTCACAAGCCACGTCTGCATCTCAAAGGGAATCTTGGGCTATAAGGTTTTTTGTTTGGAATTTATATTTGTTAAAGGGCGAAAAGAATTTTTTTAAAATGGGGGTAAATCAAAACTCGCTACTATTGCAGGGGGTAAAATGTATTTAACCCTTATTTTTTTCATTCATTTAGGTACTATGTAAGGGGTATGGATTACAGCAAGAATCCAAGATTCAATGTCGCTCTATACCGTAATCTTTTGGACCACATTGACCCGAATGATGTACGTCTACCTCTAAACTTTTATACTTTTAAATTATTTATTTTTAACGTTTTCAGTTTTCTGATTAGTTTTTATCCATAATTTATCTGGAGACCATATTTGGGTTTGGACCATGAACCCAACCCCGAGGATGCAACATTTTGGACTGTAAAGACTACAATCATACAGTTCAATATTATGCAGATGCACCACAACGACTGTGTCAAGATGCAATTCGGAATGTATCAAGAAATACCATGTGATCCAACTTCTTTGTCACCTTGGCATCTCAAAAGGGTGGATGTTCAATGGGGTGTTAACACTTTGAAAGATTTTGCTCCAGAATGGTGTAAGATGTGACATATGCATCACCAATATGTCTTACAATTTCCTGTTTTCCTCAACCAGATTAGTATGCGACACACAAATCAGTATATTGATTGGTACATATCTATTACTAAACCTGAAATACACGTGTCTCACCCGAGGTATTTGATCGATCCACACACACACAATGGGCACAATCATACACCACACAACAACAACCCCAATAATAAATCCAACACACATCAACCTCCCACCAAACACAAAGACGATACATATCCACTAACACCCGACCCCAAACCCAATACCAATACACGCACATGCCCCACACACAATCACAGTACCAAGAACAACAACCATACATCCGATATCCGATGTAGACCCCTCGTCATCTCACCTTAGCCCATACATTGGCCAACCTAAAGAATATTCATCAACCAACCCAACTTACCATCAGTTATCCTATCACCATAGCACCCAACAATCACAATACCAAACCCCATAAGATTCATTTCCTTTTTACCCCCCTTATTCAGACGATCAGTGCTATCAACCTTCCATGGAACCTCACTCCAACCAATACGACCAAACTTTGAGGACATGTGTACCCGACTATTTGAAAGCGGATCTTCCGGATATGATGATCTGACGACTTTCATGAATCATGAACGTATTGACTTCGCAGGGCCCTCGACCCAACTGCAACAGGAAATACATCGAAATGCACCACGAGTTAGGCGAGGATGCGGGTGCGGAACTACGGACTGTTAGCGAGTCCCTTAGACAACTAAATAATATATAATTTTTATTCTCATTATGTAATCGTTTAATTATTATTGAAAATCAACTTTCATTTGCAACGACATTGCTTTTTAATTCTTTAACAAAAAAAAAAAAAAGAACTTTGTACCTAGACGCAATATGAGATGACTTAGGGCAAATGATATGCATCTAAACGCCATCTCACTTGGTGTCTCCTTTAAAAAGACAATACATGCGCTGTCTGAGATGACTATTATATTATAACATTTTATGAAACATAATTATTTGTGTAATTTTCTCCTATATATATATATATATATATATATATATATATATATATATATATATATATATATATATATATATATATATATATATATATATATATATATATATATATATATATATATATATATATATATATATATATATATTTTAAAAATATGGTTATTGTTAAAAAAAAAAAATCCTCCTTATTAAGTTGTTGGGTAATTTAATTTAATGAGAATGAGAATATTTGACCCAGTATTTTTTTTTTAAACAATGAAAAGTAACGTGAGTGAAACTATCAGAACTTAGACACAATCCCCCTTCTCCAGTAACATGGTGCAGATGCAGTGAAGCCGCCACCTTCTCTGACTCTTCTCTCACGCACGCATTTTTTCATTCTCCAATTTGTCGTCAAAATCTCGTGAACTCCATTGCTCATTCCGTCGGCAATTCCTTCGTGTTGTCCTTCGAAACTGTTATCGTTTTGATTGAAGTTTCGAAATCAATGGGGCATAGTTCGAATAAGAAGAAGCGAGGAGGTGGAGGAAGAAGAAACAAGTCAAGAACACCTTCCAAAGACCACACTTCTCAATTCGGAAACGGTGATGATAACGAACAACTCGCCGAAGAGATTACTGCACTGTAACTAACTCACTAACTTTTCTTTTCTACTTAACTTGAACACATTGATTCAATCATATGCATTCAGTTTCTTTCGTTTTTAATTTTACCGGATTGTTATGCTGTTTCACTACTTTTTATTAGATGTGCGATTTTTCAAGAGGATTGCCAAATTGTTCCTGGATCGCCTGCTCAAATAGTTATTAAACTCAGGTTTGTTTTTCTTTATAATCATGATTAACTAATCATTCATTAGTTGATTAATAGTGATATTGTTGTCGTTATAATGATTGTTGTTGTTGTTATCATCATCATGATCATCAATGTCTTACTTGTGTTTGAGTTTGATTGAGCAGGCCTTACTCGAATGACATGGGTTATGAGGATGTGGATGTGTCTGCTGTTCTTGTTGTTAGGTATGTTATGTGTTTCTGCTGTTCTTGTTGTTAGGTATGTTATGAGGATAATGGTTTTTAAGTAAACGGAAATGGTTGAATGTAGTACTGACACACTCACACACCGACACATTGACACTGGTTATAATTTAAAAAAAGAACGTAATCAAGTCGGTGTTAGACACCAGATACGCCTTTGTTTAGAGGTGTCAGTGTTCCAGATGTGTTAGGGTCAGCTGCATAGGTTCCTTTCCATTTTTGTTTGTGAAGAAGGGGATCTTTATTGCTATGAAGTCAATCATTGTTTTTGCTCTATTTTTCATGGCTAGGTGCTTGCCTGGGTATCCCTTCAAGTGTCCCAAGTTGCAGGTTACTCCTGAAATGGGTTTATCCCAAACTGATGCTAATAAACTTTTGTCTCTCCTTGTTGATCAGGTGCTTGCCTGTTCTTTCAGAATTAACTATTTTTCCTTGTTAATTGGTAATTTATTATTTGATTGAGTGTGGCAAGGGTGATATATTCTCTGCTGTGAGTTAAATGTAGTGATATTTTGTTCTTGCCATTTTTCAGGCCAATTTAAATGCTAGGGAGGGACGAGTAATGATCTTTAATTTAGTTGAGGCTGCTCAAGAATTTCTGTCTAGAATTGAGCCCATTGCCAAACCAACTGAATCTGTGAGCTTACTATTACTTGCATACTATTTTCTGTCAAGCTATTGTAACTATTCTCATTCATTCGTTTTTACTATTATTCACTGAAACCTCTAATCATAATATTAGTGATATAGAAAAGTAGATTATAGAAATCAGTATTGATGTTCTTAAATTTTTCTTATATAATTATTGATGTTTGGTCGATCATTTATGTATAAAGTTAATTCATTTCTTAAACTGATGATTATAGCTTATGTTTCTATCCTCTGATTGTAGAAGTGTTTACACCCAACTACAGAAGGCATTGGAGAACTGGGTCTCAAAGATATGGCATCTTCAAATAAGAATAGATCTTTTGTTTATGGTTTCGTCGACCTTTTCAGTGGCTATGGAGAGTCTTGGAATTGGGGTTTTGGAATTGATGAAATTGCTGTAAAAAGTTCTTCTATTCCTTCTTCTAAGTTGGATGCCTCCACACTACAAATAGAAACCCGGGAAAAGAAATCCGATTGCAAGGAAGATCCGTTCATATTGCAAGAACTTCCTGTCAAATTAGATACTGTAGGAGAAGTTAGTGAAGATAGCTTATCTTTGACTTGTTCAAGTAGATCTTTGGTGGGTGATTTTACGGGGAACAATACTGAAGGTGAGAAAGAGGTAATGTAATTTACTTGTTGCAAGGGTCTGTGTACTGTTTGTTTGACGTCCCTGACATTAGGTTTTAATACATTAGTTTGCTGATTTTTAATTAAGCACATGAACATGAACATGAACATGAACAATGCAAATCATGTAATTTAGAATTTAGTAACCTTTGTTTTTGAGTGGTTGGTGCACATGATTACTCTTTTTAAACCCAAACCTACCTGGATTTTAAGGCTCCTACTGTTTATCTGAGAGGTCTAGGTACCTTTATCTGAGACACCCGTTTATGCCAATACCTTTTTTTTTCTATCATTTCACATGCAGTATTCTATAGTTGACGAGTATACAACTGAGGATAGCAAAGGTATATCTGACAACGAATCTACAGAGGATAGCAAAGGTATATCTGACAGCGAATCTACAGAGTCTCTGTCTTCTGTGTCCTTGCCTCATCATCAGGCATCTCAAATAGAAAAGGATCTACTAATGGTAAAAAACTCAAAATTTACTGCTATCAGTTTTTCACAATAGAGTTATGCTCAACATTAGTTTGGTTTTTTCTCTTTTGCATTAGGTTCACTTGCTTCGCGTTGCTTTGGCATCTGAAGGCACATTGCCCGACTCTTTGCCCCAAATAGCAACAGAGCTGGACCATTTAGGGGTATAAAAAAGATTTCTATTTTTACCAAAAGTAAAATATTTTCACTTTCATTTTCAAATAATTTCTAATTTTACAATGATCCTAATTCTTTGAGTTGTTTTTTCAGTTCGTTTCTGACTCGACACGTGTTATGGCATCAAAACCGTCTTCTCTTTTCAACAAAACCTTTGATCATATCATCAAGAAACAACCGGTTGGCAAATAAATATATGGGGACATACATTCTCTTTCTGACCACAATTATTTATTTATTTATTTATTTTTCTAGGCATTATCCAAAATATCTCAATTGTGGACATCTTCTTCTGATCTTGGAAGCTCTAATACCGTTCACAATAATTCTCGATATTTAAATGATTTTGAGGAGCTACGCCCCCTTGGTAAAGGAACTTCATGAACTTATGCTTTAATGTCATATTCTCTTAGATGTATACCATGATGATGATAGAGTACTAGAATTTCTTTTTGTCAATGATCTTAATTGCCCGGCGTTTGTGTTTGTTCGAAAAGATAACATGAATTATTATGATTTATCATGGCTTTGGAAATAATAGGAGTTTGTGAAACATTTGAACTTTAGGATCTTAGAAAACAGTTCAATTATTTTTATTTTTTGTCAATACATTTGAACCAAGTGACGTTGAATGAATGATTTGAATTGCTCGAGAGAAATTACTCTCAATCTTGTTATTTATTTATAACCAAGTGGTTACAATTAAAAATCCTTTATAGGGATTTTTAAAATTGTGGTTGAGCCTAACTCAACCACCTATAAGCAAATGTTCATGCCATATAATGTCTAATGTGAGATTCTTAACATCCCCTCACGTTCAACACTATTGGACTTATTGCATGGATATAAATGGCGGGTGGCCCATGAAAGTTTCAATTAGTACTAGGGAAGAAGATAGGAATTCTCAAGTAATTCAGAGTATGCAATAAACTGTCTAATTCGAGAAAGCCATTGTTGGAAATTTGGTTTAGGCCTAACTCAACCTACAAAACCGGCTTGTAGGGTGAGGATTGCGCCCACTTATAAGGACATGTTCATGCCATATATTGTCCGATGTGAGATTTTTAACACACCCCCTCATGCCTAGGACTGGACATTTAGAGCGTGAAAATAAATGGTGGGTGGTCCGATAGGGGGAACCTGATAGTAGGTGGTTCACCGGATCTTAAACCAGACTCTAATACCATGTTAAGAAATGTGGTTTAGACCTAACTCAACCATATAAAACCGGCTTGTAGGGTGAGAATTGCCCCCACTTGTAAGGACAAACCATATATTGTCCGATGTGGGACTCTTAAGAATAAGTAATGAATTTGTTGTCAAATCTCCATCTCATCTATTCCTACAAAATCAAATAATCTCAGTCGTGGTTTGTGGGACATCCGACACACCATTAAACACAACTTTCTTTATCAGCGCATGAAACTCACACACCACCTTCAACAAATATATTTGAGAAATTCAACAAATAAACATGTGTTGCGACAACCAAGTGCTCTTTAAATAGCTTCTAATCCAATTTTTTTATAAAAGCACAATGCTCGTGTATGCATGCATCATCTTGAATTTGGGGTCGGGCCTAACACAGCCTAAAAAAAAAGCTTGCTCATGAGGTAAGCTTGCACCCCCACTTATAACAATTGTTTAGACCATATCACTATCTAATATGGCTCTCAACCTCCAACGTGGGACTCTCGGCAGCCCTTATTGCGCCGGATTGGAGACATGGAAATTGAAGTTAGTAGACTAGATATCTGTTGGTGGCCCCACATATCTTGGATATGCTCCGATACCATCCCAAGAGTTTGGATTTATGTCAAAAGTATGTCCATGCTGTGAGGGTTTTCCCCCACTTATAATCATTATTATGGCCGTATTACTATCCAATTTATGTTTGTCAACGTACCCCTCACTTAGAGAACTAGATATTTGGAGCATAGACAAATATATGTTACTCAACAACAACACGCTTCACACTTAGGATTGATCTAGAGAGTGGGAAGATATGAGTGGCTCAATAACAGATCTAGGATAGAATGGAAATAAAAATTATATTTGTTTTTAATTTTCTCCTTGCTGTCTAGCTATTGTTGGTGACTAAAATAAGAAGGTTTTCTATTATTTGTTATGTTTTTGTAAATAAAGGGTGGAGAAATAGCTTCTCACTTCATTGGGTTTAGAAATTGTTCCTTCAATTATATAGTAAAGGTCTGGTAGACCTAGGTTAGCTAGGAATTATATTGTCATCCAAATTAGCTATAAGTTTGTTGAAGGAATTTCGGGTAGTCTACAGTTTGGGTTGCAATTTGCTGTTTGTTTTTGATAGCAAATAACACTCTTTTTCTGTACGCCCATTGGTACAAGAAAAAGTTTCACTTTGTTATAGTTTAGCTCCTGCTTATGCTGTATTTTTATTGGCTATTGAATGAACATTTCAATGAGTTTTTTATTTTTTATTTTTTTACTACAAGATGATTAATTAACTGTTTTTTTTCCTTCATATTTCTAATCATTTACTGATAATTTTTACCTGGCAATGTAAATAGGTCATGGTGGTTTTGGTCACGTTGTGCTGTGCAAAAATAAACTCGATGGAAGGCAGTATGCAATGAAGAAAATTCGCCTTAAGGACAAAACCATGCGTGACCGAATATTAAGGTGAATTTGAATTATTCAGGAAGGATCTGGCTATAGCATTGGCAAAATTAGCTGTTACTTTTGAGTGTGTAGCTTTTTTCACTAATGTATATAGTTCAGGGCATGATTCTGTAATAATAGCCCGTGCATTACATTTACAGTCATATTGATTAATATTAGACCATTTACCTGATCCGTTTTTTTTTTACAATTCTTCAATTTCTTTTGAAAAAGTGAGTTGTATTGTTATCTGCACTCTCTAGTCCAACTCCTGCACGCATGCAGTAATTTATGATTAATTTTGGGATAATGAAACACTTTGAAGCAGTAACCATAACTGGTGTGGAAACTAGTAATCATAACTGGTGTGGAAACTAGTAATCATAACTGGTGTGGAAACTACCCTTTCTTTAGAATCCAAGGATTGATTTTGTTCTTTAGCATAAGTTTTATTCATCCTATGGGAAGTATGACCTGACTTGCTATTTTGATACTACAACAACAATCAAGCCTTATCCCACTAAGTGGATCCAAGATATTGAGAATAGTTACACTAGTTATCTGTTGTTGAATAGTACAAACTATTTCTTCTTCCAGTTTTATTAGTGCTGAACCTAAATTTCTTATAAAATCTTGTATCTCTCCGTTCTCAAACTTACTGAAATCAAGCATCAACTAGTATGCCTTGTAGCTGTATCTTATAGATTATATTAAGGGAATCAAGATGAGAAGTAGAGCTGTTTTATATTGATGACAAAAAAATAAATCTGATATATAATGTAGATCATAAATATAGAAAATAGGATTTGTGATGGATGATGATTACAAATTTAAATGAGATTTGAAAAAGAAAAAAGTTGTGAGTAGATATGATGGTCAAATTTACTTAATCGGTGCTAATGTTCTATTGCATAAAATTGAAATGACATAGAGAAGAGAATTGAAATTTGAAAAAGCAAGTATGGCTTGTAAATAACTATGAGTATGCCTTCTCTTTGTATCTTACAGGAACTTTTTTTTTTCTTGATCGATTAGATGTTAGGGTATAAGTATGGTATATCCTACTTTTTGTCTCATCTCATGTTTTGATATAATTCATTTTCCTTTATGTTGTCCTCTCCATATCAATTTTATTCTTCATGTTTTGGAAATTATTGGAGAAAGTAATATAGTTATTATATTACTAACAATTGTGCCCATTTTTTAAATCTTTTTTTTACTGTTTCCATGTAATTGTATACTCTTTTTTTTGAATTGCAATAACTTACTTGTTTATCATCTATCTATGGTGAAAAAATCAGGGAAGTAGCTACACTTTCTCGTTTACAACATCAACATGTTGTTCGATATTATCAGGTACAAATGTCTATTATTTTTTGCACAAATTTTCGTATTATCGTAACTCATGTGTCTTGTATTAGATTTTTATTTCCTTATTGTTAAGAGTCCCACATCGGACAATATATGGCCTGAACATGTGTTTATAAGTGGGGACAATCCTCACTCTACAAGCCGGTTTTGTAGGGTTGAATTAGGCCCAACCACATCTTAATATGGTATCAGAGCCTCGTTTAAGATCCAGTGGGCCATCCACCATTTATTTTCCACGCTCCAGTTGTCTAGTCCTGGGCGTGAGGGTGTGTGTTAAGAGTCCCACATCGGACAATATATGGCCTGAACATGTGTTTATAAGTGGGGGCAATCCTCACCCTACAAGCCGGTTTTGTAGGGTTGAATTAGGCCCAACCACATCTTAATACTTATGTTTCTCATTAACTCTTCCCTCTCTATTGTGTTGACTGTCCCGTATGGTCTTTTGGATTTGTAACTCTGAAAACTACTTTGATTATATTCAGTGCGGGAGTGAGGGACTCACTTTTAGAAATGCAAATAAAATGTTTTTTTACCATAATATTATGTGGTTATATGATGCTTTTAAATTCTTAATAGCTGTAAAACTTCCAGGCATGGTTTGAAACTGGAGTTACTGATTCTTATGGTGATCTTGCTGGAGATTCAAGAACTCCAGCGAGCTCTACTTTCAGTTACAAAGGTGCAAGCTCCAATGATGCTATTGTGCGTGAGAATCGGCTTGAATCAACATATCTTTATATACAAATGGAGTACTGTCCCATGTAAGTTTTTCCAGTGAACTATGTTTTTTATGTTCAAAGTTATTTTCAGTGAATTATGTTTTTTATATTTAAGATTACTATATTTTTCAACACCGATCATTTAAGAAAGTCTAGCTTTAGCTTTTCTCTTTTGATATCTCTCTCTATCTCACACATAATTTCTCTTTTCCACGTAAAATTAGTTACAATTTTCAATTCGTATGAAATTCTGACATCATATGTCTACTGATTCCTTATGTCTGTTGTTTCTTTTTACTCTTGACTCATCTAAACAAAATTTTACAAGTTCACTCATTATTGTTCATTATGCTTTGTTGTTATTGGGTTCAAAGGACTCTTCGCCAAATATTTGAATCATATAGTCATTTTGACAAAGAACTGGCATGGCATTTGTTTCGCCAAATAGTAGAAGGTTTGGCACACATACATGGGCAAGGAATAATTCATCGGGACTTAACACCAAGTAACATATTCTTTGATGCTCGCAATGATATTAAAATCGGTGACTTTGGTCTTGGTAAGATCTTGAATCCTTTAGTTGCTTATTTTCATTTTCTTCATGTTTGTTTCCAATATTTTCTCTATCTAGCTTATTGCAACAACGAACAACTTCAATACTTCAATACGTGTGAATGGTGATCATGAAATTATTAAAATATATGATAGGCCTAGTAATCTATATAGGCTAGCAAGGTGATAGATGCTGATACCAAACAATAAAATTTAATAGTAATTGCAACGAGTTTCCAAGAAATTTGAGAGTCTTGGTTCCCTCCCTACCAAGAATTCAAGAGCTTGGTCTCTCCCTCCCAAATATAACCTCTTTCTAATTTTCAGCATGCCCTGAACATGGTTTTGTTTCCCTTCTTATTCTGCCTAAGTTTTTTAACAATTTCTAATGATAATAATTGTTACTCTAATAATACTAATAGTTGCTCTTAGACTCTGTTGCTGCTACAAATAACATTTAATAAGGCTGCTCCTACGCTTGTAACTGATACTTGACAAAATATAACAACCACATTAATTTTTGATTCCTAGCAATTCTTAAGGTCTAACACAAGGTTTCATATTGCATTCTGATTTGCATGTGCAATTTTCATTTATCAATATGATGTATCTATACAATACAATCGATGTTAGTGACAAATGCCTGCACATATACGCATTTTCCTATGTGAGCAGTAACATTATTACCTCTTGGTGTAGTGTTTCCCTGTTTTTAATTCGGTCTAAAAATTCATATTAAGCAATGTCCTGTTAATGTCTGAGCTTTCTACACTAGAGGGAGTAGTGGTTGTGAATGAAATATCAAATTTTCTTTAGTTAACTTTTTTTTCTCTTTTCTTTCAGCCAAGTTCTTGAAGTTGGAGCAGGTGGATCAAGATCCAACCCATCTTGCTGATACAACTGGAGTTTCCATTGATGGCACTGGACAAGTAGGGACATATTTCTATACAGCTCCTGAAATTGAACAAGGGTGGCCTAAGATTGATGAAAAGGTGTAAAGCATTCAAGATTATCCTTTTCTAGCTATCTAATATCTTTGCTTCAAGCAAAATTATGTAATTCTTGGATTTTCTTAATGTGCAGGCTGACATGTACAGCTTAGGAGTGATTTTCTTTGAGCTCTGGCATCCATTTGGGACAGCAATGGAGAGACATGTTGTTTTATCCGATCTGAAACAAAAAGCAGGGCTTCCACCTGCTTGGGTTGCTGAGTTTCCTGAACAAGAATCCTTGCTGCGGCAGTTAATGTCTCTAGGTCCCTCAGATCGCCCCTCTGCCACAGAACTTCTGAAGAACGCATTTCCTCCACGAATGGAGTCTGAATTTTTTGACGGCAAGTGATTATTACCTTTGTTTTTCATTCTGCTACTTTTTATCGTAATGAAGGTACATAGTAAAAGTTATCCACCAAAAGAATTCACCATCTTATCTCGTTAGACAGAGTCAGTTACATGGACCAAATAATATCAATGCCATTAGACTATCAATCAAAAGAAAATAAATGAAAAATAGTAGATCAATCACGCCCGAGTCTTATGCAAACCATAAATTGTTTTCCACACATTTTGCAATGTTTGAACTCAATGCATTCCCATCAATTTGTGTTGAAAGGTGGTTTGATCATTTATGAAATTTAATGTCATTATGCACATACAAGAGTTCGATTGCATTTACTTTAGAGGTTTTGGTTTCTGATATGGTGAGAATTGCATGTGTTTCTAAATATATACTTGATGTGTGTGTGAGTGTTACACGTGCTCAACTGAATTCAATGTATGTGCATGCTATATTAGATATAAAAATCATACATAAATCTTCACCAAGCGGTCAACATTTTAGGAGAGTTAGTGCATGACATTATAATAAAGCCTCTGATCAAGTGGTCAACATTTGATAAGGCTAAATCTTGGGTGTGAGAGTGTATACTAGATATATAAAAAATTCATGATCGTCAAACACATTAAGTTTTTTAGTAGTTGGTTTATGATATTGATAGTTTTTTTCTTTTCTTGCTAAAAACCTCTATAAATTGTTATAGCTACTGACTGTATGTTTTTAATAGTAAAGTAATATATCAATAGTGCATATTTTGCTCTCTTGAATGTTTAATTTCTATGAATATGAAACTTTTTTAATGAGTGGCCACTCTCAAGGAATATAAAAACAGAAACAATCAGATGATCTTGGTAAGTACATTTACTTAATAATGCAAACTGATATTTCACTGTGAAATATGCATTGAAGTACATGCTTTTGACGTTAAGAATCTTAAGTCCTTATTTAATTTTTTAAAACGTTTTTGTAAAGTTTCTTGCTTGACCCTTAGTGAATATCAGTTCTCTATGTTCAGATATGTTGCGAACAATGCTGAAATCAGAAGATAGAAGCATTTACGATAAAGTTTTAAATGCTATCTTTGATGAAGAAATGTTAAGCTCAAAGCACATTCATCAAGTTGGTAGATTAGGGTCAGTTGGAGATAACAATTCATCCATTCAGCACACAGATTTTGTAACCCAAGTCCGAGATTACATTGTTGATGTCAGCAAGGATATTTTTAGACAACATTGTGCTGAACACCTAAAAATATTACCGATTCGTTTATTGGATGATTGTCCGCAGTTTAATAGGTCAATATCTTCACTCAAGTTTTTTACTAGTTTGCAATTTAGTTTTTTATTGACTTGACAACCTAGATAAAAGATTGATGAGTTTGATTTTCATTGAGTAGAAATACAGTTAAACTTTTGACCCATGGAGGAGACATGCTTGAACTTTCCCATGAGTTGCGTTTGCCTTTTGTAAATTGGATTATATCTAACCAGGTATGGGCATATTAGATTGATTTATTTTCTTTTCAATTCTTCTTCCAATTTTTCTTCAAATATATTCCATTATGTTAGAATTTGAATATAATATGATAAGTATTGCAATAATTGATATATTATTAATTTAAGAGATATATGGTTATGCGCTCTCTTTAGTTGTATTGCTTGTTGTATAAGTTTTAAAATAACGTTCTTAATAAGTAGAGAAAAAAAGTGTGCTTTGTAATATTGGATTTATGGATATAAATAATGCTCTTCAAACAAAATTAGTATTACAACATCCCTTAAGATTCACTATAAAATTCTTTTTGAACATTTTGGAATACGCTTTTGGGTTTTAACTCAGTCCTGCAAAATAACACTCTGAGACCATCTCAAAATTTCGGTTTTAGTCTAGTCCAACTTAAACACTTTTTCATCAAGCCATATCACATCTAATGCAGGACTCTTTAATAGAACTACTCATAGTAGATGAGATTTAGATGGCATTACTTAGTCTGCAATGCAAGGTTATTAAAAAACATGATGCCTCTAAAATCATGCTTGGTTGATGTGCCATTGTTCTTGTATAGTGACAGTGACTATGTTGGTGTTGGTCCTTTGATGGGAATTACTAAGTGATTTTTTACATAAGAATCAATTAGGATGTTAAGACCAGTTAAAATGTTAAAAGTCAACTCATCCTCGTTTTATCCAAATAGGTTTTGGTTTTGATATTGACTTCTAAAACAAAGAACCAAAAACTCAAAACTCACAATAAGATCTTCAGCCTGTCTAACAAAAGATATAAATTGTAGAGGGGGTAAAGGTGTTTATATTGAATTCTGAACTGTATCCCATAGGAAAGAAAATGTCCTTGGCAAGTTTTGCACTGCTTCTCTATTATTTTAGATGGCTTTCAGAAAGGTTTGAAAAATCTAAAACAAATTATAAATTATGTGTAGAAATCTTCATTCAAACGATATGAGATATCATATGTTTACAGGAGAGCTGTTGGGCATTCATCACCAAACTGCTACCTTCAGGTACCATTCTATTATTTCTTTCAAAATTTTCAGTGGTTCTCTTGTTTTTTGACTCAATTTGAGAAACTGCATAGGTAATCAACATTTCTGTTTTTGGTTTTGTTAGTTGATTTTGGTTAAAGAAGAATATAAAAATCTCTAGTTTTTTCTCTTGCATTCCATGAATAATGTTTTTGGCGTTTAAGGTTTCTGTAATGGTTTGTGATGCTTTATGTGAAACTTTCAAGCAAAACATATCGGTTATTCAAACTCTTTGATACAAAACCATTTTTTCACAGGGAGATTTTGACATTATTGGTGGCACTTCAGTATTGACGGAGGCAGAGGTCATAAAGGTGAAATTTTCAACTGTATTCTGTTAGATCTTATAGTTTCTTTTTCGCTTTATTTTATCTTTTTATTAAATTCTTAATGATATATACATATAGTTATATGTGATAGTGCTATGCTGCACCGCAGTTGTTAAACCACTGCCATAAAAGGAACATGGTCAATAAATCTATACTTTTCTTTTTTATATATTTTTCAAAATAAAATATAGCTCACTGAGTATTTATTATTCAGCTTTTATCTTGTTCATTTTGTGTCTCTGAAATCTTTTAGATTGTGTCATATAATATTAAAATAATAATGTTGATCACTTGGTAATACTAAACATGTCATATTTACCAATTGCATTATAGGTCACGAAGGACATAGTCACTTGTTTTTTCCATGAAGACTCATGTGACATTCATCTAAATCATGCTGAACTACTGGATGCAATTTGGTCATGGACTGGAATCAGGGTAGAACACAGATTTAAAGTAGCAGAGGTATGTTAGCTGGGTAACCAAGAAGCGCATATCATTCAAGTTTGTTAGAATATATGACCAATTTTTGATTTTTTTAAGCTTCTTTCAATGATGAGTTCTTTGCGTCCTCAATCCTCAGAAAGGAAATCAAAATGGGTAGTGATAAGGCGACAACTTTTGCAGGTGAGAAAAATTAGTGAGAAACCTAGTGTGTTTGGCTACAATAACTATTGATATGGAATATTTGTCATAATCCCCCCCCCCCCGGTAATTAACATGTTCAAAAAATCGATTCTCAGTCAAAATTAATTTATTTGCATTTTTAATGCTTTTCTAGGAACTGGGTTTAGTTGAAGCTATGGTGAATAGGTTACAGACAGTAGGTTTGAGATTTTGTGGATCTGCAGATCAGGCACTTCCTAGACTAAGGGGAGCTCTACCATCTGGTACATATTTGTGGTTAGATTGAAATATACATTTACATGTTATAGAAGGAAATTCACACTTATTGGAAAATAATAAACTAATGCAGATAAGCGGACTTTAAAGGCACTTGATGAATTGTCTGAGCTTGTCCGTCTCTTGAGAATTTGGAGGATTGACAAAAATGTATATATAGATCCATTAATGCCGCCAAATGAAAGTTATCATAGAGATTTGTTTTTTCAGGTACCATAAATATGTCATTTGTTTTCTAAAAATTATCACACCGTTGTGGTATGGGTTCCATACTTGTACTTTATAAGAAACACTGCCCACTCCTTATTTATGATATGTCTTTTGTAAATTTAACTATCTTAAACTTGGATCACTCACTAGCAACCATCTATATGTCGTATTTTTGTTGACGTTTCACAATGATGGAAGATTGAGTCATACAAGAATCATTAATCTCCTGCACATGATTTGTTCAAATACTAAAACATTTTCTGTTGTCTGTATTTGTCCATCTGTTACTATTCCAAGCTTTTTTCTGCGTATGTTTATCAACGGGACAGAAAAAGGTGGCTGAAAAAGATTGATATTGAATTATGTCAATCTTGGCATGGTCAATATGCTTGTGGACACTTTTTTGGGTCCGTAGGTGAAGTACTAACCACGAGAAACTCACAACTAATGGTTCTTTGAATTGTGTCAAGGAAACAGAAGGATTAGAGATATTTATGTTTTGAATCTTTTGATGATTCTAATGAAGTTGAACTTTTCATGGAAGGTATACTCAAGGAAGGAGAACAGTCCTGGATCACTCTCTGAGGGTGTCCTGCTAGCTGTTGGTGGTCGATATGACTATTTGCTTCATCAGTTGAGGAGCAGTGACTATGTAGGTTATGCATTCAAATTTAATTTCTTTTGATTGACATTAACATTGCTTGTATCTTTACTAGTTTTTCTCTCTGCAGTTCTCTTCCAGAATGTTCTAATTTACATATTTCTATGTATTTTTAACAATTATATAATTTGATTTGATTGTTACTTGCTTTGATCCTAACTATGTTATCAACTAATAATGCTTAAACTCATTGGTCTTAGTCTGACTAAGTCCTGATTGAATGCGGCGGTTTGTCCTTCGTGCTATCAATACTTTTTGTTACCTTTACCCGCAACATAATAGTGTCAGTTAATGTAATTGATGATATCATCATGTTTCTTTTGCACGTGCTTCAGTTGTTCAGGGTGTTTTCTTCCTGTAGCAGTCTTGGACAACTTAAAGCTTCTTTTATCTAGGAATTTTATGTTGTTTCTAATAGCCTGTCTTTTCTGTTATGCAGAAAGGAAATCCCCCCACTGGTGTGGGGACTAGCCTTGCCCTAGAGACAATAATTCAGAATTGTTCTGTACCCAATCGGTTAGTATCCATAAGCTCGTACATTCTTCTTGGTTGTTATTTTTACACTCTATAAACTCCTTAGCATTAAGGTTATTGGCTTTTCAATTATACAATAGTGCCTATGAATGTTGTCCGCGCTTACATGCGCCCAGATAGTAGAAATACTTAGTAGGCTTGGCTGCTGATGGGTACATATACACATTTGACTCTCTCAACTGTTTCAGAAATGAAGCAAGCATCAAAATTCTTGTGTGCTCAAGAGGAGGAGGTGGTCTGTTGGTGGAGCGCATGGAACTAGTTTCTGAATTATGGCGGGAGAACTTTAAGGTTGAGATTTCTAAACAATTTTGATCTGTATAATTTAGGATTATAACCTAAAGTTCTGCTATTCATTTTTCTTGTCATCAGGCCGAATATGTCCCCGTCCCTGATCCAAGTCTTACAGAGCAATATGAGTACGCTAATGAACGTGATATAAAATGTCTCGTTATTATTACAGATGCAGGTTTCTCCCTGACCGATTCAGTTAAGGTAATAATATATTTTCTATAATTTCATTGTCCAGTTAAGACATAAGATTGAGTTTGAAGTGAAGTGGTTTATGTTTGATTCTTGTACTCTAAACGCAAGTCTGATGTTAAATCTAGCTTAAAATTTTCAACCTAAAGCCAAAACTACCTTTTTCTGAGGTTGAGGTTTAGAAGCAAAATCAATTCCATCTTAAATAAACGTGTATTTCACTAAAATCATGTTTGGGATAGGTTGTAATCAATTCCTTATCAATACTGATAATATCCTAGGTTAATCATTTATGCTCCATATACATAACTTTATCAATGCCAATTTGGTTATTCGAGTTGTGGTATTTTCGTTGAATATCTAATAAAGTAAACTTATTAATGCTCGTATAATCGTAGAAATGATCTAACAATTCTTTCTATATGAGGATTGGGATGCTTGCAGGGTCCTCTTTATTTATCTTAAATTTATACATGTCACAAACATAATCTTATTAAAAGTGGGACATATGGCCTTCATGGCAGCACGATGCAATCTGATTCTAAGACAATATTACATTAACTGGTTTAAATTGCCTCCAGGTTCGACATCTTGAACTTAAGAAGGAGAAAAATGTTGAGAGAGAGAACCTAGTCAAGTTTCTATCAGATGCTATGGCAACACAATTTAGAAACCCCTCCATATGGATTTGATCGTCTTTTCCGTAAAGCTAAGTTGTTTTTTCCTTCAAACATTAATAGATGAAGTCGTTTTTGGTTCATAAATCACACTGGTCTAATTCAAAAGCTAGACAGATTATCTACAGGATTTTGGCAAAAAGAATTATATCAACTGGATGGTCTCCAATCCCTTCCAAAATATAGGACAGAATTATGTACATCAATTTTGCAGCTTTATTTGATTCCCCACCCCTTTATTTTTTTAGGATTTTGTTGTACATTAATGTCATTATGTAAATATGTATATATAGCTTATGAATTGTTCATTCATTTAGCCGGAAGCTAGACAAAGTGGCTGCAGATGAGATTTTTTCCTCCACACACTTACTTTTAGACGTACAATTTGAGTATTTATCTTTTAACCTTTGAGTATTTACATTTTAATTTTTGTTTTTTTGGATGAATTAACGGAAAAATGTGGGCTTTTTCATTTACTGAGACAAAATTAGAAAATTAGTAAAGAGTGAGAAGGAAAAGAACAAGTATCTTATAATTACATTTTTTTAGGAAGTTGTTTATCCCATCCTAAAGAGCGGAAAATCATCCTAAGGAACTTCAAAAATACGTCTCAGAATTTGGAAGTTCATTTTGAGATGCACTCTTTTCATACCAAAGAGAAGATTAAATTGATCAAGAGAAGGATTAAAAAGTGGAGTGAAAATCAAGCGGGAAACTTGGAAAGGAAATTCGAAGCAGCTAAGAAGAAATTGAACGAGCTGCAGATTAAAAGCGAAGAGGCAGAATTATCCGCAGAGGGAGATAGAATCCAAAAGAGAAGTGTCGGTTTAACTTTTCTCCTTGTCTAGAATGAAGAACAGTATCATATGGCAGAAGTCTAGGATGAGGTGGCTAAAAGAAGGGGACGCTAATTCTAAATTCTTTCACCGGTGTGTGGTTAATAGAAGGAAGATCAATGAGATTACATGTATAGAGACACATGACACAGAGTTAACGGAAGTTCAGGAGGTTATATTCTAAATTCTTTCACCGGTGTGTGGTTAATAGAAGGAAGATCAATGAGATTACATGTATAGAGACACATGACACAAAGTTAACGGAAGTTCGGGAGGTTAAACAAGGGATCCAAGATCATTTCTTAGAATTATACAATAATAGAATGATGGTAAGACCCGTTATTAGAGATGTTGAGTTCAAAAAGATAGATATGGCGGATAATGAGGGACGTTGAGTTCAAAACGATAGATATGGCGGATAATGAGGCTTTGACGACAAAGTTTAATATGGATGAGATCAAAAGTGCAATTTGGGATTCTGATAGCTCGAAGAACCATGGGCCGAATGGTTTAAATTTTGGTTTTATCAAGGAGTTTTGGAAAGTGATTAAAGATTTTTTGAGATTCATTTCTGAATTCCACTCAAATGGGCGAATCGTTCGAGGGGCGAATAGTACATTCATAACACTTATCCCAAAAGTTGAGAATCTGGTGAAGCTGAATGATTTCAGACCTATATCGTTAGTCGGTTGCATTTACAAAGTGCTCGCTAAACTTCTTGCAAATAGGCTGAAAAAAGTGGTTAATAAGGTCATCTCCGAGTCTCAATTTGCCTTTGTGGAGGGGCGTTAAATGCTTGATTGTATCCTCATTGCAAACGAGATAGCCAATGATGCTAAAATGAGAAGGAAATAAGTCATTCTTCAAAGCAGATTTTGAAAAGGCGTATGATTCGGTGGATTAGAAGTTTCTCGATGTCACGATGGAAAGAATGGGTTTCGATGGAAAATGGCGAGGCTGTATTTCTGAATGCTTACAATATGCTTCGATATTAGTATTGGTAAATAGGAGTCCTACAAAAGAATTTCGGATGGAAATAGGGTTGAGGCAAGGGGACCCTCTATCCCCTTTTTCCTCTTTTTGATGGCAGCAAAAGGATTTAATGTGATGAGGGTTAAAAGCATACAAATGAAGCTTTTTGACGAGTATGAGGTTGGTAGAGGCAAGGTGAAGGTGTCCCACATCCAATACGCTGACGATACTATAATTATAGGGAAGAAGAGTTGGAAAAACATTTGGGCAATCAAGGCAAATCTACAACTTTTTGAGCTGATTTCAGGACTTAAAGTAAATTTCCATAAGAGCTCACTAATCAGAGTAAATATTCATCGCTCATGGTTGGAAGAGGCCGATGTGACTCTAAAGTGTAGAGTCGGGACAACCTCTTTCAAATATCTCAGGCTTCCGGTATGAGGTAATCATAAGAGAGTGGGCTCGTGGAAGTTGGTGGTTGATACTGTGAGGCGTAGGCTGTCCTCGTGGAACAATAATAATCTTTCAATCGGTGGGCGTATTATTCTCTTGAAGTCGGTTTTATTTGTAATTCGTGTTTATTTCCTTTATTTCTTGAAGGCTCCGGCAGATATCGTTTACCAAATCAAAACTCTTGTTAAAAAATTTCTTTGGGGCAAGGGAGTGGAAAGGAGGAAAGTGAATTGGGTTAAGTGGGATAAGATATATCGTGAGAAAGAGGAGGGAGGGTTGGGGATTAAAAATTTAAAGGCTTTCAATTTAGCATTATTAGGAAAGTGAAGATGGAGATTTTTAAACGAAAAGGGCTCGCTGTGGGTCAGAATACTAGAGTCTAAGTATGGGGGATTTGGTCAAGAAGCGGGCATGTTAGACAGACTTAAGTCGTTATGGTGGAGAGATATCCAATCTGTTGATATATGGGAGGGAGGTTTCAAAGGTCAGTGGTTCGAGGAAAATGTCGCTAGAGAAATACTCTGTCATCCAGGAAATACTCTCTCGACCGTGCATCGAGAAACCCTCTGTGATCCTCGACGTAAACGCCATCAGCGATGACGACGCTGGATAACTCCAGTATACAATTACCTTACTATGGGGGCACTGCCCCTGACCAAAAAGAGGCCAACATAACCCAGCGACAAACTTACGCCTATGTCCTTGTTGAGGACAAGCTATACTTACGAGGATTCTCCATCCTGCTCCTCAAGTGCATTGTGGAGTCCAAGGTTCCCCATATCCTGCGCAAAATCCATGAAGGAATCAACACCCAACACCTCGGGGGAAGATCCCTCGTCCGGAAGGCCCTACGAGCAGGATACTACTGGCCCACTATGCAACACAACGCGAAGGAACACGTCAAGAAATGCGATAAGTGGCAACGCCACTGAGACATGCATTTGGCACTGCCCAACGAGCTCAAGACTCTCTCCTCTCCGTGGCCCTCCGCCTGGTGGGGAATGGACATCCTTTGACCGTTTACCACAGGGTTAAATCAGAATAAATACATGATTGTCGGCGTCTATTACTTCATAAAGTGGATAGAGGAAAAAGCCCTCGCCAAATTGGGCACCAAACAACATTTCACATCAGTCGAGCACCCATAAACAAACGAACAAGTCGAAGCCGCGAACACACTAATCCTCTGTGGCCTAAAGCGTAGACTTGGCGAGGCTAAAGGAAGATGGGTCTAGGAGTTGCACAACGTGCTCTGGGCCTATAGAACGACTTTGCACTCGACCATCGGGGAGACGCTGTTCCGATTAACTTATGGAACCAAGGCAGTTATCCCAGTAGAAATCAGAGAGCCTTCTAGACAAGCTGAACTTCCCCTTAACGTGGAGCTGAATGACGACGCGCTAAGGAAAGAGCTCGACTTGGTTGAAGAAATTTGATCAGGAGCACCCCTCTGCGAAGTAGCCCTAAAACAAAAAATAGTCATGTGACATGACGCCAAAGTTATAAGGCGAGAGTTCAAAATTGACAGCCTAGTCCTGAGGAGAAATCACAAAGATTCTCTGAACGACAAACTTTCCGCGAACTGGGAAGACCCATATCACGTCCGAGCAAAAACAGAAAATGGGGCTTACTACCTCGAAAACTTATACGCGGAAGAACTTGCTCGATCATGGAACGCTGAAAAACTGAAACAATATTACAGTTAGGCTTAATAGTCAGGGTACCACTGCCACATCGACGGGGTACCTCCCGACCATAGGTACGTTACTCAGGTACATGTTCAACATCCCAAACTTAAACAAAAAGGCAAGATTCCACTCTTATGACGAGAAGATTCTTGACCCAACGGGGAAAACTCGACTGAGCTCTGCCGTCGTCGTACCAGTTTGGAAGAACGCCTAGCTCGCGATGAGAGGTTCCCACCGCGAAGCTAAGACCTCGACCAAGATCTTAGTTACCACCCTCATTTCGGAGACCAACTCCGACCACTCGATAAGTTCCCTACGCATTCGAACAAACATGTCGTAGACACAAGATCCCCAAAATACTTAGAAAAATTAATTCACAATAACATTTTGTTCGAGGGATGCACTAAACAACGGGCACCCCTAACTCCCATTGAAAGAAAATAAATACTTGGCAAAATCATACATTATGACAAACAGAATAAAGGATAAACATACACAAACACATCAAACAAATTTAAGGTGCGATAAAGCGACTAATACGGTTGAGATGTCAAAATATTACGAGTAAAATAGGGCAAAGCTCATTATCCGAATATTACAAAAATTATGGACACGCAGACCCTAACAAAAATAGTCAACAAAAGAGGAACTAATCATTCCCCGTGCACGGTCTCCCCGTCATTTCCTTCAACACGAAACTTTCCATCTTCTTCGACCTCACTAAGGGGGACGGGATGGGGTATTATCTAGCTGTCAACCACCTGGTGAAAGCAACCAATCCCCTCTGTGATAAGCTCAACCCCTGGATTCACGATCTTGAGTTGAGCCACTGTGTTGTTAAAACCCATATCGACAGCTCCAAGGCAATCTTGCTCGACCTCTTGAATCGAAGAAACTAGTTCGACACGGGTTTTCAAGGCTTTCACCTCATCAGCTTCGTCCTCGACGCGTGCCGTGGAAGCCTCCAAATCAGTTATTTCATCCTTGAGAGCCTTCTTCTCGAGCAACCAAGCACCCGTCGCCGCAGACAAATTGGTTACCTTCTCCTCCTCCTTCTTCAGATCGA